TCCGCAATAACAGTGGTTTATCTTAAAGGTGTATGAAATTAGAACTATTTGTATTGCCCGATGAACAGCCAATAAGGCTCAAACCTGGCTTTTGAAACGACTTGATATGTAAAACTGATTTGATCGGGGGCATTACATACAGTTCTTATTTCAGATACTTAGATATAAGGCTAAACATAACTTTGTAGCATTGTGACACATGGGTACCTGCAGCAGACTACTTAAATAAGAATACAAAAAAGAACACAATGAACACAAAAAAAACCAACCTATGCTGTAAAGGTCATGTATAACCGTATTCCATAACAGAAGGGACCGTTCAGGATATGTACATGTATGTGTGTGTGTGTGTATGTATATATATATATAGACATATATATATATATATTATACTGCATGAAAATAAGACAAACATTTTTGCTTTTTCAGTAGGAATGCAATGCGCACTCACATTAGGACCATTTCCACTGTGTATATAAAATAAAGCATATTTGACTGATATATGAAATAAATAGGATACATATACACCACATCATACTGTATTATAAGGATGTATGGTCTCTGGAAAAAATGATTGAAGGTACCCTAAACCCATGGAACAGTAATATAGAAGTTTGTCCTCACTTTGTGTTCTGCTGCTCTGATCATTATGTCTGTAGATTGAAATATATGATCAGCACTCAGAATAAAACAAGTTCTAGCTGCCCTATAATAACCTATTAATGAAATGTCACACTAATACTAAACTCCCTATAAACTTTTCCATTAGACCTGCATAAGTTCATACACAGGGGCACATCGTTGTCATAGTTACATGCCAACATTTCATACAAAGAAAGCAATTGTAAATCTAATTTTATTCTTTTTATATCTTATCTCATTTCCATGGAAAATCTAAAAAAAAAGCCACGAGGTGTGCACATGTATAACAGATATTGTGGACAAACATTATAGCAGCTATTGTGTGAAATCCCCCCCTTTACACACACACACACACACACACACAGATACACCCCACCCGCGGATTGTGCCTGTTCTAAGGGGTATACAGAAGAGCTGAATGATTTCCCTTCTAATGTCAAGGTCAAAGCCTCCTCTGGAGCTGCCAGTCATGACGTCACCGCACTGACCCCCGCCTCACTCCCCAGCTAGCCGATCAGGATGGATAGACACACAGCATACACACTCACACACAGTGCATTCTGTGCGCATCGCAGCTCATTGCCCCATCACTTACTGAAAGATGAATACATTAGATCTGTCAACTCATTATTCCACGCCACTTTCTACGGGTTATCATAGAAGCCATGCAAGCCAGGGCTGAAATATCCCCATCTCCTTCATTACCTTCCCTTGCACGCAGACACAGGCACATCAACAAAGTGTTGTTTACTATACACTATAAGCCGAGCAGCTTGTCATATAATATGGCTAATAAATCATGAGTGGGAGGCGTCACATTAGCAGCAGATAACTCGGAATAGGAAGCACGTGTGGTCATCAATAGTAATATTTACATTGTATCCAGCGTCACAGGAAACTCTTTCTCTCTCTACCACATCCTGCCTGCACCAAAAGAACAACAAATTTCGCTGCTGCTCCATTTCATTCAGCTCGAAAGGGCCTTTTTATTATGAAAATAAACGGATAAATACAACCAAAATGCTTTAACAAGATAAATAGGTTACAAATATATAATTTAAGGGAACAAAACAAATGTGAAATAAAAAAAGGAATATGAAATCAAGTTACACTTGTTGGTTAAAAAACTGTAGACAAAAAAATAAAAATAATAATGTGGTAGAGGAATCTCTACAGTTGTCATTACAAATCATTCATTATCAGACACAGGGACTTAGACATGGAGAGATATACCACCTAGCCAGCTGATGATCACATAGATCCATCAAACACACATATATCGAATCAGAAGTATTTACTAAAGCAGATAAGAGAAAAACAATTGTGCGAATATTCATTTCAAGTGGGGATCCAAATTCTTAATCGCTTTGACTATCCAATCATGTGCAGCAGCTTTTCACAGGACTGGAAAATAGAAATGAATATTCACACACTTTTTTCCAGTGAAGATTCTGAACATCTTTAGTAAATAAGCCTCATATGCTCCAGTATAACCAGATAATACAGGCTACAACCCAGAGCAAGGTACCTGACTTGTATGTCAGCACAGCCACAGTACAGTCCAGCAGAAGTAGGGATCTATTGTGTTTAATGACATACATTTATTGGATTCGATTGTATTTGTATTAACATAACCTTGATAGACAGAAGGCCATACAGCCTTCTTAGGATATTCCCAGCTCCCTGCCCTTTCCATTACAGCAAGCAACACTACAAAGCACTGGGTGACCTTCCTGCAGGAATCAGTGGAAGTAGGATCACCTCTGCTAGGAGCACCACTCCATAGTCACATCACAGGCATGCTGGTGTGATTCACAAATCTTTTAACACAGCAACAACGTGAAGCCACACACACAAAAAAGGCATCTATCTGAATCCAGCCACTAAGTGCTTCTAAGTCATTCAAATAAAAGGGACTCCCTGTCTCAATAAACCTCCACTCTTCATGTGTGAAAAATTGGATTGGAGGCCACGTGTGAATAGGGAGCACATCCCTACCAGTCTCACTGCTGGGAGATCGTGCACTGAAGCATTATCCATAAGAAAATAAAAACAGAAAATGAAAAATACATAAGACCGCGAGCACACACACCACGGCCACTAATACACTGCACTGGGGTGATTATTGTTACCCCTGTCCATTGCTCTGTATGGGGATCCCCATGGATTTTTTGAAATTGGGATTATGCTGTCACCCTGAGAGATCAAATAAAGCTTCTCAGAACAATGAGATCGGCCTGTATGCCAATTCCTAGCAATGACAAGAGGCTTGCCAATGATGGCCGCATCTGCTGGATGGAAAACACGATTTAAAGCTGGCTTCATGGCGCATACAAAGTATATATACATCTAAACGCAACCAAAAAACCTTATGGAAGCCCGTACGGGACAGATTGTCGCAAGACCCGGACATTTCTAAAGGGGGGGATAGCACAAACAAATAGAAGACAACAGTGCAATCGGTCTAGATTCTATACACAGCTGGATTAGGGTATTGCTAGGCACACAGAACCCACCATCATCATCGAGTGTTTAGATTATTCACTCTCAATGCACTTTGCAAAATAAAAAAAAATAATAAAAAAAATCCCTTTAGTGGCAATATGAAGAAATGTACAATACATGTATTTGGAAATATAGACTTTGACGTAGATTGCTCATTAATTAAAAGAAAAATCCAAAAGAAACAAAGTGTCCCTATTCGAGATCTGTGTTCAATTGATCCATACCAAGAAACCATAAAAAATATGAGATTTCCATTGAAGCCAACATGGAATCCACACATACACATTATTTTACTAAGGGCCATTTGGAGTCTAGGATAAAGTTTAGGGGGGACATATAAGACTGGCAGTCAACTAAATAGAACTTATACAATACAAAACAACAGACATCACCCCCATTATTAATAATTCAGACACACAATAACAAGGAGCTGCTCTGCTTGTACCACCATTGTTTTTTTTTTCATAGGCATCACACACAGATCTGAATCGTTCTACCAAATTTATTTTCTCAATCAGCTCTTACGGAACCACTACTAAAATTAAATTACAATCAAATGATCACATCAAAAGAGACCATTGTAACCTGTCCATATTTCTTTTTTCAAATGTTATTTGTGCTCGTCTGAAAAAAACAAAACAAAACAATAAAATAAAATAAAAAAAACAACACGTAATACAAGATTTTGGGGAAAAAAATAAATTACTGTTCTGCATCAAGTTCATAGGTATTCTGAATAAAATATTAAAAGAAGTCATTTGATGAAAATATAAAGCAATTTGTTTTAGATCAGTTATTGATCTAATATTTTTACCGCTGTCTTTTAAGTCTGTTTTTTTTTTTAAACCTACCAAAAACACCGCTTGGAAAATGCAGTATAGTATAATCTGATCATAGTTGGCAACGGACTTTAGAAGAGGTGTAGTTACGGTAAGTGCAGATACAGAAGTCCAAATGAGAGTTTTAAATAGAAGCATTAAATCCATTTTTTGTTTTTGTTTTTGGGGTTCAGTAAAAAAAAATCTCAAGGGGGTCACAGGTGAGGGATCAAGATAAAAAGAGCCACGAGAAAAATAGGATTTTTTTGACATCTTAAAATGATTTCCTTCTATACACTTGTGGCTGGTAGGATGGAGTTTAAAGTTCACAAAGCATAACATCTATCCTCTGTTTGTGTGTACCCTGCTTATTTGCACAGGATAAATGTATTCCAATGTATTTCAAGTCACTTCTTAGTGCTGTGTGCATATTTCATTGCTTGGCTTGCTGAGATGAGGGCACATTCTGTTCCTGAATATTGGTTTTATTTATTTATTTTTTGTTTCTTTCAGGGGAATGCCATGACTAGTAGCCATGAGGGGATGCTGCAAGTTCCAGGCAGCGCCTTGTTCTTGGATTTTCCTACAACCACGGGTAGAAAATACAGAAACCTTTTGTTGTTCTTGGGTTAGAAAAAAAAGAAAAGAAAAGCTGTAGAAGACAGCTGATTATTGTGTGTCTTAGTGATGTGGGCAAACTTGCTTGATCTTAGCTGGGCAGACAATTGAAGTCAAGTGGCATGTCTATTTCTAGGCAAATAAAAAAACGGAGATCTTAAAAAATAGAGTATATATGAAAAGGACTGATCTGCAGTTTTGGTGCCATTACTTGTCCACCCATGTGCCAGAGGATCGAGGTGGTGAATGGCATTGCCCTACACTGGTGGATGGTGGTGCTCACTCTTGGTATCTGTCAGTAAAAAAGAGCAGTGTGGGTGAGTGGGGCCGGGTGTGACCATCTCCCCCCCGTGGCTTCACTGGTCAGGCAGCTGCTGGGTGCCCACTCCAGTCATTGCACACTAGTTTGCATCCCGTGGTGAGGGGGCGGTGTGTCAGCCCCCACATTGCCCACCTGGGAGTAGACATCATCTGGCGTCTGTTGCTGGATCCCTGGCGGGGTCATCCTCTTCTCCTTCTGCCTCCGGTTACAGAACCACACTCGGACGACCTCCTTCTCCAGCTGCAGGCTGTCGGCCAGGTTGGTGATCTCCTGAGCTGAGGGTTTGGGGCATTTGAGGAAATGGCTCTCCAGTGCCCCCTTGACGCTCACCTCGATGGAGGTCCTCTTCTTCCTCTTCCTTCCCTGGGCGGCGATTTTATCGATGCTGGTGGGGCTGCCCGTGGACGAGTCGGCCTCCTCCAGCCACTTGTTGAGCAGGGGCTTTAGCTTGCACATGTTCTTGAAGCTGAGCTGCAGCGCCTCGAACCTGCAGATGGTGGTCTGGGAGAAGACGTTGCCATAGAGGGTGCCCAGGGCCAGGCCCACGTCCGCCTGGGTGAAGCCCAGCTTTATCCTCCGCTGCTTGAACTGCTTGGCGAACTGTTCTAGGTCATCCGAGGTCGGGGTGTCCTCGTCGGAGTGCGGGTCGTGGCTGTTCACCCCGTGGTGTTGCTGCGGTTGCTGCTGCTGCTGCTGCTGTTGGTGGTGCTGCTGATGCTGCTGGTGGTGGTGATGATGGTGGTGGTGGTCCCCCAGCTCGGGTGTATCCCCCCTGACAAGGCCCGGGTGGACCAGGCTCTGGCTCCCCGGGGGAGGGCTCAGCATACCGTTCACAGTGAATGCACCGGACTGGGAGTAGAGGAGAGCCTGCTGCTGTTGTTGCTGCTGCTGCTGTTGTTGCTGCTGCTGGGCTCCTCCTGTCATGGACTGGATGTGAGACGCGGCTGCCGCTCCCCAGCCGCCTTGATGCCCTTGGTGGGGTCCGAGGTGAGGCGGTCGGTGGTGCAGGGCAGCCCCCGGATGCAGTTCGTCCCTCCCAGCTCCCCCCTTCACGTCCTGCTGTTGCTGGGGGTGCTGCGGGCTGCCGGTCATCCCCACCGGGCTGCTGGACCAAGGGGAGCCCGCCTCGGCC